TGATGGGATTACACAGCAGTTGGTGGGTGTGACTGTTTAGCTACTGGAAGTGCATAAGTGTAAAGTGTTTAAGTGTCACCACCTTCATAATGAAGATTTTAAAAATCATCTCTCAAAGAGGCAGATTGGTGAGTGGGAGGCAAATGGGACTGCAGGGCATGGGGAGATGGATCATTAGTGTGGCGAAGGGATTGGTGTTGGAACATTATATGTCTACAACCCAATCATGAACAACTTTGCCATTTCATGGTGAATAAAATTAAATTTTTTTAAATTAATACGGACTGGAGAGATAGTAGAGTGTGTAAGATGCTTGTCTTGCATGTGGTCAACCAGCTGAGGTTGGCATCCTATATGGTCTCTGAGCACTACCTGGAGTATTTCATGAGTACAGAGCCAGGAGTAACCTTGAGCATCACTGGTTATGAACTAAAAACAAAAGTAAAAGCAATAAATATTTTAAAGGTCTCTTATATGTGGAGTATAAAGAAACAGTAAGGGAACAACAAAGAACCAAAATGATCAAAACTGAATATTTTGTCCATTTAAAACTGAGCTTTCATGGAAAGGGAGGCTGCAGGGGCCCATGGGATACTGATGAAAAGAAGCAAGTATTTTGTGATGGGTGGCATGTTTAAATGATATATACATAGATATTATAAGTAGTATTGTAAATTTTGGTACCTCAGAAGGAATGATTTTTTAAAAATTAGCATAACTGAATACAAGGCAAGTACCTTAATCCTTCTATTATCTATCTGGCCCGGTTAAGCAGAAATTTTTAAAAAAATTTTTTTATTATAAAATTTTTTAATAGTGAGACATCATGAGGTACAGTTGCAGACTTACACATTTTTGTGCTTGGATTTCGCTTATACAATGATCAAACACCCATCCCTCCACCAGTGCCCATTTCCCACCACCACGGATCCCAGTATCCCTCCCACCCCCTGTCCCCTCCATCCCACCCTGTCTCTGTGGCAGGGCATTCCCCTCTGTTCTCTCTCTCCTTTTGGGTGTTGTGGTTTGCAAAAGAAACATTGAGTGGCAATCATGTTTGGTCTATAGTCTATTTTCAGCATGCTTCTCACATCCTGGGAGGATCCTCCCAACACCTTTATTTGGTGTTCCCCTCTTTATCTGAGCTCCCTTTTCCCCTAGTATGTGTGGTTGGCCTCCAAGTCAAGGAGTAAAATTCCTGGTACAAATATCGGCCATTCTTGGGTGTTAGATTCCTATTCTGTTACTTTATGTTCCCCAGATGAATGCAATCTTTCTATGTCTATCCCTTTCTTTCTGAGTCATTGAGTCAAGCAGAAATCTTAACTGGAGTCATTTGAAGAGTAATTTGAGAATATCTCTTTAATTTTTAAAAAATGCATACTATTTAATATAAAAAATAATCTACCTGAAATAGAGAAGGGACCACCAAGTAAATGATGCTTGGAGGGCTCGCTCAGGATGGGAGATGTGTGCTGAAAGTAGACTATGGACCAAACATGATGACCACTTAGTTACTTGTATTGCAAACCATAACACCCAAAAGGAGAGAGAGAGAGTAAAAGAGAATGTGCCTGCCACAGAGATGGGGGGATGGGAGGAATGGCGGGAGGGATACTGGAACATTGGTGGTGGAGAATGAGCACTGGTGGAGGATGGGTACTTGATCATTGTATGACTGAAACGTAATCACGAAAGTTTGTAAGTCTTAACTGTGCCTCACGGTGATTCATTAAAACTAAAAATTAAAAAATTTAAAAATAATAAGTCTACCATGTAGTACCTACTATGTAAAACTATAATTAAATTCTATCAATTAAAATGAATGATTTAATATTTTATTCACTGTAGTAACACTACTATACTTTCATATAAAATGTTGTTGCTATTTTCAGAGATAGCAATTGATTTAATAGTTTCCCTTTTGGGTAGAACCTTGGTTAAAAACTATTATATTTCAGTGGATTTCAGTTCTATGATACAGATGAGAAGCCCCCCACCCCCGCCACCAAATTTAGTGTTTAAAAACAACTCTGTGGGCTGGAGTGATAGTACATGGGGCAGAGCTTTTGCCTTGCATCAGGCTGAACTGGTATGATCCCCAAAATTTCCTATGGTGCCCTGAGCACCTCCAGTAGTAATTCATGAGTGTAGAGCATGACCCCTCATTGTTGCTGGATATGATCCCCCAAAAAAGTAAAATTAAAAAAAATAAAAAGAACTATCTTATTATTTTTATGTTCTGTCCATTGATAGGAATTCAACAGATGCTTCTTCACTTAAATATCACTTTTAAAAAATACCACTTTTAAACACGAAGTTTACATAAAATAAGTTACATGAAGTTAATTTTATACTAGCTCTAGAGAAAATGAGAAAAAAAACAACCTCTTAGCCACATTCATAAAAAGCAACTTAAAGAGTTATAAGATTGACTAACATTGGAGGATCCTCCCAGGAGGGGAGATGCATGTTGAAAGTAGACTATGGACTGAACACGTTTGCCACTCAATGCCTCTTTTGCAGACCACAACACCCAAAAGGAGAGAGAGAACACAAGGGATCGCCCTGCCACAGAGGCAGGGTGGGATGGGAGGGATGGGGATGGGAGGGATATTATCCATGGTGGTGGAAAATGGGCACTGGTGGAGGGATGGGTATTTGATCATTGTATAATCGAAATCCAAGCACAAAAAATTATAAATCTACAACTGTACCTCATGGTGTTTCACTAATAATAATAATAAAAAAAGAAAGCAAAAAAAAAAAGATTGACTAACATCACTATCTCCATTTTACTGCCATTCTTGCACACCCTCCATTCCAACAAAAAACTTACTAAAGTTTTTTAATCTTCCTTTATTCCATTCCAATTTTATTTAAATAATAGTAGAAAAGGTTTATTGTAAATCAGGTTCTCCATTATCTCATAATACAAATTGCTTTCTGGAAAGTAAACTGGCAGATCCTTCATATCATGGACATATTTAGATGATGTAAAAGTGACTAGTCTTTAGATCAATTAGAGAACTGAGTGACAAGTGTAATTACTCAACTGAATCAAGTATATAGCCTCAAGAGGCCACAGAATAACCACAGTGAAATGAGATTCATCACAATGAATTACAATCATCAAGATAAGCAATACATTATAGGTTTTACTATAAACATACTGTTTTAAATTGTTGCAGAATGAAAGTTACTTGTAAGAACTTTACTAAAAAAGAAAATGTAAATGAACCATTTGAGTAGAAATCCACACATGGAAACTATGACACTGAGACCAAAATATATTGCTAAGAAATTCTCGTGACTGATGAACTCTTGCCCAACGATGGGAGAAAACGCACAGGACAGGGCTGAGACACACGAAATCAGGTTTATCTCCCCTTGCCAAAACTCTTGAATGGGAGTGCCCAAAGTGCCTTGGTAACAAACACAGGTTCTCAAAAGAGCTTTATAGCTTTCTGGTTCTGTACCGAGGCCATGATCTGAACACCTAGTTCTTATAAGCTGATCTGGAGGTAAGAGACTAGACTATTAAAATATAAATGTTCTTCATCTGATTATTGTAAGTAGCACTGTCCACTGTCCTGTAGCACTGTCCTCCGTTGTTCATCGATTTGCTTGAGCAGGCACCAGTAACGTCTCCATTGTGAGGCTTGTTGTTACTGTTTTTGGCATATCGAATACGCCACGGGGAGCTTGCCAGGCTCTGCCGTGTAGGCGGGATACTCTAGGTAGCTTGCCAGGCTCTCTGAGAGGGATGGAGGAATCGAACCCAGGTCAGCCGCATGCAAGGCAAACGCCCTGCCCACTGTGCTATCGCTCCAGATGTTTTAAAGGTGGGATGTCCAGAACAACCTTGGGCCAGAGTACAGGGAGGAGAAAGACTGCATGGGGAGAGAGAGAAGGGGACAGATTGGGGGATTAAGGTACCAAGGTGGAGGTAAGGAGCCAAATATCCAAACTACAGTGTCAACAACACTGAAATAAATACGGCAACAATCAAACTTATCAAGGTGTCTAAAAAGAGGGCAGGCTGGGAAGGGGAGGTGAGAAAACGGGTATAGGAGGGAGCTGGGGCACATTGGTGAGAAGGGAGGGAAGTTGGCACTGGTGTGGGATCAGTACTGCAATACTGGATGTCTAAAACTCAACTATGAGTCACTTTGTAAATCACACTGTTTAATAAAATAAGGAGAAGGAAAAAGAAATGTGCTAACAAAGAACTTGATTGCCACCCCCCCACCTCCACCCCCCCACAAAAAAAGATCTGGTTTCCAATGCCTTGGGGATAAGAAGAAAGGGTTTGGGTTTTAAAAGTCTTCCTTGGCTTTTCCTGTCTGTTCCTGGGCTCTCGTGGTCAGGTCAACCAATCTCCAAAGTCACTATTTCACCCCAGAAAAGATTTTACCTCTGTCTTCATAACTGATATTTAAAAATAGCATATGTTACAACAACAATAAAATAATGTAAAAATACCTGAGGATTACTAGTCTGTTCATCACCCAAAAAATAATTAAGCATAAGTGTACTGGGTCAAAGCTAAAGCTTTTCTTCCATTAACGTGTATTATTTTTCAAATGTTTTATAATGTGATTTCAGTTCAGAATGATTTATCTAGCTCAGAAGAACTAAAATCAACAGTTGGGATTATTTTCCTCTTGATCAGTCCATAAAGAGAGCATTGAAGATAGGGAGCCACATAATGTAATCACAGCTAATTCCTGAGAAATTAGGCAAAAGTTAGGAGACTCAAGTTCCCTCTAGTTGTCTATGAAAAGGTTCTCCGATATGGTGTCTTCACTGGAAAATGTTCAATAATTGTTGATTTTCATGAATGAATAAATGAAGAAACAGGCACACTGATTCATATTAAGTGGTAAACTGCTGAAAGCTTCTTTGTTGATCCGTTATAAGAGATGCACAAAAGCAAATTAGCTCTCTCTGTAATCAACAAGGACAACTCTACCACAGAGTCATGGAGAACGTTCCATTCATAAGTAGATCTTCAACATCTCACAAATTGATTGATGAGAATTATAACAAGGGATATTATTCCAGCCCCATTGGCGCCGTATGGAATGAGAATCTAACACAACACAATGTTCATTGTTAACACTGGGTTCATCTTTGTGCCAGAACCTGAAAAAAGAGAACAGGGTAAGTATGTTTCTCAAGCTGACTTTGAAAAGAGACAGTGAAACTAAAGGCTACCATAGAACGTTATGGAGATCAGGTCAGAGACACACAAGTCATTGCTTTCCCACTCCTCGCACATGGCCTATCCATCTGTTGCTGGCATTTCCCCTGAAAATGGAGCTGCCATCCCCCAGAGCTGCCCCATCGCCTTGTGTCAGACACCCTCCCTGCAGACCTGATTCCATGGGCTCCCTTAAGTGATCAAAAATTTTATCCTGGTCATATCGATAGCATAGGCTTTTTTATGTACCATTTTTGGAGAATGAAACTTGTTTACAATATAATTGATTTGATGCTTCTAGAATCTACACAAGGCTGAGTCATCGAGGGCACCCCTGAGAGGGCTGGGTGAGCCTAGTGCCCACTCAAACAGAGTCCCAGCAGCGCACTCCACAATCACCACCATGCTCCTGGCCAAATTCCACTGCTCACGGTGAGCCTCATCCAGAAATGATCACAATCACGATCACGACCATCCTGTTATTCGTCAATTGCCTCAGGCAGGCCCCAGTAACGTCTCCTTCATCCTTGCCCTGAGATTTTTTAAAAAGTGCCATATTCAAGGCTCTTTTAGAGTTAGGAGAATGAGACCCATCATTGTCACTGGTATTTGGCATATTGGGTACACCACGGGGAGTTTGCCAGACTGCCGTGTGGGCAGGCTACATTCGGTAGCCTGCCAGTTTGTCCAAAGTAGGAATGAGATAATAAGATGTCCCAGCTCCCAGAAGCATGCATTTGCAGCTACACACTTCCAGGAGCTGGGTTTTATAGTCTCTGAGTCTTGGTCGTTGATGGGATTACATGGCGCCACGGGGCCAGTTGGTGGGTGTGACCCCTGCCTACTGGAATTTGGAGGATTCATCCAGAAATGAATCAATGGGAAAAGCTCAGGTATGCAGATTTTTGTGACTGAAGTCTCCAGGCTTTCACAAATTTGGGGATTCTCCCCCTCCCCCTGTACTTCTGGAAGCCTGAGAAGTCACACACACATGCCCAAAGCTACCACCCAGTTAAATATTGAACTACAGTTGTATCACCCCATCACAAATTTTGGACTCCCTGAAGCTTTTACGTCTGTGCAACATCTCAAACTCTATTACACTGATAAAGCAAGAGAAGCATACAAATTGGATGGGATGTAATGTAGAAGGCCACCAATCTTGATGAAAAAATAGAAAAAGGAGGCTTTAACTGTATCAACATCTTAGTAATATCTTATACAAGAACTAATGGCTCCATAGTGAGATACAACAATCTTCACCAGATTTCTTCTAGGGAAATATTTATGACCATTCTTTTAGCAAGCTATTGATAGAAAGCAATATACAATAAATTACTGAAGGCCTGCTACGAGGCTGAAGGGTGGTTGGAAAATTAGGAGACAATGATGGAGGAAAAGTGTAACGGTGGTGGGATTGGTGTTGGAATATTAGTGCCTATAAAAAAAATCATCATGAGCAACTTTGTATACCAGAGTGTTTATAGAAAATTTAAGGGAAAAACAACATTTTTTAAAATAAATAAAATTTTATTTCTTAGAATAAATAATAAATAAATGGGGCTGGAGTGATGGCACAGTGGTAGGGCGTTTGCCTTGCATGCAGCCAACATGGCCGACCCAGGTTCGATTCCTCCTCCCCTCTCAGAGAGCCTGGCAAGCTACTGAGAGTATCTCGCCTGCATGGCAAAAACTGGCAAGCTACCCGTGATGTATTTGATATGCCAAACACAGTAACAACAAAAGTCTCCAATGGAGACGTTACTGGGCCCGTGCGAGCAAATCGATGAACAACGGGAGGACAGTGACAGTGACAGAATAAATATCTCGGATTCTACTACCATTATCTAAGGTCATTATATATTATTCTGTTCTTAATCTAAAAAAAACTGAACTAGAGTCTATCCCTATACATTTTACATAGTTCCTATAAGTCTCTAAAGGTATTACTTTACTAAATTGTACTTAAGGATCTAAGAGTTGGGTTTTATTGTTTTTGTTTCTATTTCGCATTTTGGGTCACACATTGCTCAGGGGTTCCTCCTGGCTCTTCACTGAGGAATTACTCCTGTAAGTGCTTAGAGGACCATATGGGTTTCTAGGGATAGATACGGGTTTTGGGGGGAGTGTGTGCAAGGCCAACCTCCTACATGCTGTACTCTTTCTCTGGTCTAACAGTTTTTTGTTTTTTACTAAATAAAAATAAGATACTTTAGGAATCTCAGAATTTGGCTTATTGCTTTAGGGCACCAATTAAATTTTAAGAATGGCTATGATTTTTCTTGACATGAGAATTTTATTATATTGAATATGCAAATTTCATAAGCACATGCTTTCATATCAAATAAACCTGGGTTGGAAGATCATCACTGCCACTACAGGAAACCTTTCTGAGTTATCTGAACTCTTTAAATTCAGTGTCCTCATTTCTACACAGAGAAAGAAAAAAATGATGATCTATAGACTTCTGGTGGTGATTAGTAACAAAATGCAAATGAAAAAATGAAAACTAATGTCTGGAAGTTATGTTTGAGCTCTATTGTTCTAAAACCTGCTATTTGGAGCACCCTAAAGTCCCTACAGTCTGCAGGACTCATGATCCCCTTACCCAATTCAGTACTCACGTGGCACTTTGATTGTATGGTGTCTCATTAACCCATTCCCAGACGTGCTCATTCTTCAGATCTGACAGCCCCAAATAATAATGCTGATTCATTTTCAATTTTTTGATAATAAAGTCCTAGGAAAGAATAGAAGTGAGTGAGAGTTTATGTAGCATTCCACTAGATTTGCATTCTAAAGTCTTAGGAGAAAGAACACCAAAATGAAAGGGTCCATGGAAAGGCAACCAGGGTCCGGCCCAGAAGTCTAGGTCTTCTGTGACTGAACAATACAGGATCAAAGGCATCTCTTGGGAAGATGGTGTTTGTCTTAGGTGTTCAGGCCTCTCTACACAGCCCCACAGACAGGGCAGCTTATAAACAACTGAAATAGTTATGCAGACTGATGTCCCCAGATCAGAGAAACAACATGATCAGGAAAAGAGCCTCGTCCAAGCTGATAGGAATTCGGAGTAGAGTCAATTAGAGAACTGTAGTGCCCAGCACACAGGGCAGAGATTTCTGTCCGTGCTCACATGAATCATCATCTCATACCCACCCCCACTGCATCAGTAGGAGATAGGAGTCTGCAAAGCTCTGGAGGAGAAATTTTTCATACGAATTCTCTTTCCTTTGATGATTTCTTAAGTTATTTCACTTCACCACTATTTCTTTCCTATTTCACTTCCTGGCTTTCCTCAATTATCTTTTACTGCTTGTTTTCTCTCTCTGCTTGTTGTTGTGACAGTTGTTGTCATATTCTTAGTGCTTAAAGTCCATTAGAGCCATGACACCCTACTCCACCAGTAGTTCTCAATTGGCTACAAAGTGCTGGAGGTCAAGCTTAACACTGACACACCAAAAGCAGATCGACTGCCAGTAGATTAACATCTCTGCGAGGAGCAACCTCCAATCATAGGGGCAGAACTAGCCCCCATTGAAACAGCAATGATTTATAAAATGTATGTAGGTTCATACAATTAACTGATAATTCATGTTCAAATATACCCATCTTTACACTCAAATCTTCTTATAATATTCTAAATACCCCAACTGAATTAATGGGGAGGATTTAAATGAAATCTGAAGGTGTAGAATGCAAAGACTTAGATGTCTGATCCCATCTATTTTATCCAAAGCCTTATGCCTTGGCAGCAACACCCCTGACCATGAAAACTTCCTCCCAAGCAGGAGCAGGGAACAGAGCTGGCAGGACCGTGACTCCACCATTGACTGGAAAGTACCTGCTCCTCCTTGCTGTCGACCACCAGCAGATGCGCCCGCATCTCTGCACAGTGCTTCTCACTGTCAGTCCAATTTCTTATCTCAGAAGAAATAAAGTAGCAACTTGAATCAAATGACTTCCAATTCTTCGGGCAGCAGCTCCAAGATTTCCCTGTGTTGATAATTTAGTCATATTAGTACAATATAAGACAAGTGATGTTTTTATTGTTTTGGGATCACACCCAGCAGTGTTCAGGGGCTACTCCTGTTTCTGTTTCTGTGCTCAGGAGTGCACCTTGGTGGTCCTTAGGGGATCATACTTGGGGTCAGAAATGAAACTATGGTTGACCACATACAAGTCAAGTGCCATAACCACTGTACTCTGGTCCAAGGCAAGTAATTTTAAAGTCAGTGTATTGTTAAATTTAAAGTGAAAGATATCTTATGGTATCACAGTACCCATTCACCGAAGAGTAAGCAGGGTCTGTATCCATCATACATTGTGTAGGTGAAACCCACCTGCATCAGGCAGTACCAAACATTTCCTGATTTCCATGTCTGTGTGCAGTCAGTAAAGGTAGTTAGAACCAAAATATTTTTAAAAGACACAGACTTGGCAGCTAGGGAGATAGTACAGTAAGTAGGGTGCCTGCCTGTACATAGAAGACACAGATTCAGTGCTCAATATCACAAATGGCCTTCCGAGCCCCACCAGGAGCGATCCTAGAGTGTAGTGACAGGAATAACCCTGAGAACCACAGACTGTGCAAAGGGGAAAAAACATAAAAAAAAATTCAGACTCTCAGAAGAAAATGCAAAAATGTCCCATTTTCAGTGGAAAATTACTCTTTATGTCAATAACTATTAAATTCTCAAAATTGCTATGGCTATATTGTGTTCCCTTAAAACACAGATGCTAAAACTGTGATCCTTGATGTGACTGTTTGGAGGCAGTGCCTTTAGAAGATAAGTTTGATTAAATAGAGTCAGAACAATGGGGCCTTTTAGCCCAATAAAACTTTGATGTTTCAAAAAGAGAAACATACATCAAAAATGTTTCTCCTGGGGGCTGGAGCAATAGCACAGTGGGTAGGGCATTTGCCTTGCACGCAGCCAACATGGCCGATACAGGTTAGATTCCCAGCATCCCATATGATCCCCCGAGCACTGCCAGGAGTGATTCCTGAGTGCATGAGCCAGGAGTAACCCCTGAGCATCGCCGGGTGTGACCCCCAAAAAAGCAAAAAAAAATGTTTCTCCCTCTGTTTCCTACCCTCTCTCCCTCTTTTTCTCCCTCACCCACTCTACCTCCTCTCTATTTCTCTCTTCCTTCATCTCTTTTTCCTCTCTCTCCTCCTTCCTCTCACCTCCTTTCCCTCTATGCCTTTGTCTCTCCTCTTTTTCCTCTCTCCCTCCCTCCTGCTCCCCTCTCCCCACTTATGGAAAGATGAGAAGTCATCTGTGGACAATGGCATTGTGTTGTCATTTGGGTATCTTCCAAAGTAGAGGAAACTGAAACAAAACAGAATATCAGAATCTTCAACTCTATCCACTAACTATGGTGTGTATTCTCTAAGAAACCATTTGAATGCATGAAATATTTGTATCTTCTTAAAGCACATGGTCCAGAGCGATAGCACAGCAGTAGGGCGTTTGCCTTGTGCACAGCCGGCCCGATCAAGACCGGTTCGATTCCTCTGCCCCTCTTGGAGAGCCCGGCAAGCTACCAAGAGTATCAATATGCCTAACACAGTAACAACAAGTCTCAGAATGGAGATGTTGCTGGACCCACTTGAGCAAATCGATGAACAACGAGAGGACAGTACTTGTTTGTTTTAAAACACAACAGAATTTGATCTCTCTTGAGTAAGTCAGTTTTAACAGATATTAGGGGGAAATTAGAGTGAATATAAAGTACAGAGAGAAGTGAAGACTAAAGAAATCCAATGGAGGTATAGTACAATGGGCAGGCACTTGCCTTACATGTGGTTAACTCAGATTTTACACCTGACACCCTATAATATACTCAGAACACCACCAAGGGGTGATTCCTAAATGCAGCACCAGGGTTAAGATCTGAGCACTGCCAGGTTTAGCAATAGAGAGAGAAAATCCAAAAGCTATGCAATCACTTTTTCACAGATTAATTAAAAATATGCACACAAAATAATTGAGGCCTGATATAGACGCACACTTAAAACTATTATGACACAGCTCTTAAACATGCTTTACCCATGGATTTTACTGGAACTATTGATATGTTTGGGAAATCTACACTGGTGAAGGTATGGGTGTTGAAACATTATATGATGAAACCCAGTCATGAACAACTTTGCAACTGTTTATTTCACAGTGATTTAATTAAATCTTTTTTTAAAATGAAAAACATAGTGTGACTTCCAAGATTAGACGAGATCAGATCAGAGATCAGCTCTTGCCTCTTGGAGAGCCTGGCAAGCTGCCGAGAGTATCCCGCCTGCGTGGCAGAGCCTGGCAAGCTACCCGTGGCATATTCAGTATACCAAAAACAGTAACAAAAACGAGTCTCATTCCCCTGACCCTTAAAGAGTCTCCAATATGGCAGCGTTGGGAAGGACGAGTAAGGAAATGCTGCTTAAATCTCAGGGCTGCAATGAATGGAGACGTTACTGATGCCCGCTTGAGCAAATCGATGAACAATGGGATGACAGTGATGACGGTGATGACATGGTATGACAGTGGAAGCAGGACAGTGGAAACAAGGGTCAGGAGGAACGGTCCATGGCTGGAAACTTGCCTCAACGGGGTAGGGTGTAGTTTAGTAGAGTCCACAACTCAATTATATGCATATTTGTTCTTACCTAGTTTGGTCAGAAACTTACATAAATATAAGAATATTAGTTCCATATTCATAATAATTATTATAATTAGTAATAATTATATTACATTGGTTCTACAAGCATAGTTATGAGTTCCACTAGTATAGTCAACAATTCAATTCTATGTATATTAGTTCTTACCGTTCAGGGTCAACTTTTCTTTCTTACAGTCCAACTCTGTGTGAGTCAATTCTTGTGTAAACTTTTCCTCTTGAACAAGGTTAGAATATTTTTGGAAAAAAACTAGGAAGAGAATAACACCGTTCATTTTCCTGGTACTGCTTAGGCTTTTATTATTATTATTATTTATTTTTTAATTTCTATTAGTGAAACACCATGAGGTACAGTTGTAGACTTACAAATTTTTGTGCTTGGGTTTCAATTATACAATGATCAAATACCCATCCTTCCACCAGTGCCCATTTTCCACCACCACGGGTTCCAATAACCCTCCCACCCCCACCCCTCCCATCCCGCTCTGCCTCTGTGGCAGGGCATTCCCTTTTGTTCTCTCTCTGTTACTTTCTTGAATGAAATCCATAATACACAATTGCTCCAGTAGAAGGACACTAACTGTGGAAAAAATACCTCATTGCCCAGCATTCAACACACTCTAATCCTACAGATGTTGAAACCACAGGTTTGTTTTCAGAATGGGATGAAAGATGTTATGAAAATTCTTGTATTGTGAGGCCCAAAAGCAGGCTACTCAGCAGCCATGACAAGATGCAGCTAACATTAAGTCTCAGCTAGACCTCAGTTTCTGTTCAGGACTTGCAGTTTCTGAAAAACTCCCAATTGAGTAATTCACCTAGATAAGAAACTGGGCAGTTGGATCTGGCCAGTCATGAGGGATCGCTGCACCCTTCTTGGAAAGAACTTCAAACCATTACTGGTACCTGCTGTCCAATTGCTGACCACTGTTGTAATAGGGCAATGCTAAAAATAGACCAGTATATAATCTGCTTTTTGTCTGAACCCTATGTAAACTGCTTGTGATTTGGAGTCAGGGTACTTGTCAAGACTCCACTGTACTGCTGGAGCGATAGCACAGCGGGTAGGGCGTTTGCCTTACAAGCGGCCAACATGGCCGACCCAAGTTCGATTCCTCTGCCCCTCTCGGAGAGCCCGGCAAGCTACCGAGAGTATTCGATATGCCAGACACAGTAACAACAAAGTCTCCAATGGAGACGTTACTGGGCCCGCTCGAGCAAATTGACGATCAACGGGAGGGCCTTTACCTTTACATTTACCACTGTATTGGATGAGACTTGAACCCTAGCTCGGGCTAGCACTGGCTCGAGCTAGTAATAAAGTTCCTTTGCTTTTGCATTATTGTGTGTGGAACTGGGTCTCTCCGCAATTGGGGATCTGCAACTAGAAACAACAGTATTGAGATTTAAAGGTAATTATCCATCCTCACCTTCAACAATAACTGGGTGATACATATGTAAATGCTAAACCTTTGAGAAGGAAAAGGTGAGAAATGGTAAAACATATGTGTCTGAGGATTATGTCCTTGGGGAAGAAAACCATCAATTCTGAGGTCTGGGTTACATATAGAAAGGGAAAAAAATTTTTTTTAAATCTAACAAGGAGGGAAGAGCATTTGTTTCTTCATCCTTTTCTCTTTCGTTTATCCCAACTGTCACTCCTCTGCACAACAGTACACTCAAGTCTCTCACTTTTTTTTTTGCATTTTGGGTCACACCCAGTGATACTCAGGGGTTACTCCTGGCTCTGCACTGAGGAAGCACTCCTGGTAGTGCTGGGGGACCTTAAGGGATGCTGGGGATGGAACCTGGGTTAGCTGCATGCAAGGCAAACGCCCTACCCGCTGTACTATCTCTCTGGCCCCAACTCTCTCACATCTTAAGATAAATCTATTTCCCTCTCTAAATGGAAAAATTTCTCTTTTTCTTCCTTACCTTCCATGAGCTCCCTGACCAACCAATGCTAACTTCCACTTCAACCACTGCACTCTTGCAATGTCCCAACCACACCCAAGGAACTCTTCTAACAGCTCTTTTCTTGGAACTCTTGCAATTCTTCTTTGGAATATAAAGTTGTTCACAATAATTTATTACATTCACTATTCCAACACCAATCCCCCACCATTACACCTTCCCACCATCATTATTTCAAATTTTCCTAACCACCACCCAAGCCTGCCCCAAGAGCAGAACTGGAATATTTTATTTTGCATTGATTCTTATGTATAATTCCATAAAAATGATCTCAAATAGTTTCTTTAGAAAAAATCTGTGAAGATTGTTATATCTCACCATGAAGCCGTTAAGCCCTTGTAGAAGAGATAACTCACATGTTGTTTCAGGTTGAGCCTTGTGTGCTTTTACGTGCGTTTGTTTTGATTTGTTTTGTTTTGTTTTATCGAGATTGGTTGCTTTCTATTTTATAGTCATCTAATTTGGTGTGCTAATCCTGGTACAGCAATGGTATAGAGTATGAGCCCATTTTCAGCCCATTTGTGGCCACACACTCCAGGAATTCTAAAATTTTAAAGAGGGTTATACAACTAGAGTTAAATTTTTAAGTGAGTTGGACCTTTGGGGTCCGAAGGCATCTCTACAGCTAGCTGATGATCTCTTCTGAAATTTATCTGTGAATTTCTGGATCATGGCCGTTAGTGAGTTCCTGTGGCACCAGAGGCAGTTCTTGGGCATGACTGCCAGGCTCCCAAAGAACAGGGAGATGGGGGGCGGTCACCCATTTCCGACTCTGTGAGAGCCTGGATATTTTGGACCTCTGCAATTCTTGAACTCAGTTCTTTTCACTTCATTCTTGGGACACCACTGTTTTCTGGTTTTGTCCCTCCTTTCTTTCTGATGCTTCTTAATTTCAATAGACTTGTCACCTCTTTGAAAAGTCTAATATTCCTCACAATTCTTGCGATGCTTCTTTAATTACTTTACACTCCTCTTTATTGATCCTTCTTTCACTTGTAAATTTCTTATGCCCCTTTTCATTGAAAAGCCTCTCCATGAGTGAGAGCATGAGTATCCACGGTTTCCTCTGTCATATGGAATAATTCCAAAATCTAGACTTCTTTATCAAACTCTGTCCAATATATCTCCCACTAGACAGGTCCACATGAGGTTCAAGTGTCGACAAAAATCAATGTACCACAAACTTAAATCACCACCCTCACTCATAAACCTGCTACCTGTGAATATTTCCATTATTGAGTTATCAGGAAAAAATACCTGAGCTATGCAGTGGATAGACTGTCCCTTGAGTCCCACCAGAGTGATCCCTGAGCACAGAGTGAGGAGTAAGCCCTAAACACTTCTGGATGTAGCCCCAAGTTTTTTTTTTAAATTCTGAAGCCAAAGATATGCATGTTGCAGATAGCAGGATATGGATATATACCTCTTTGCAACTGATTATTACAACATATACATATAATAGGGCACAAAGAAATAAGGTAAAAATTCAATAGAAAACTCTGCCTGAAATATTTTTTTTTCTCGTTTCCTTTTCTGCTTGGTCATCCCAGACTATGTGATTGTACTTTAAAAGACCTGAACAACACTATTAAGGAATAGACATTTATCCTCATTTCCCCACGAGTCTAATGTACATAGTGATGCCCTATGGTTGCACTTTAAAATACAAATGTGTGCACATACATATATACTTTACTTTCCCCAAACAAAGTTGGTGTCATTATTTCACAGAAGAGTAACTAAATTCAAATAAAGCACCGTGTTTCCAATGGATGCCTGTTTTTTCTGTTTCCCCTAGAGACAGAACCTAAGCTCTTCTGGTTAAATCCATTGTTAAATTATCAGTGTCTAAAGAATGCTATCTCTTCAGGTAAGAGAGATATTCCTTCCTGATTCTATTAGCTACTTACTAATAGAGGCGATTAAAAATGAGATTGTCAGCAGCAGAAGAATCAACAATACGGCAAGTAGTAGTTTGAGGCAACCAGTGTTACTTTGGGTAGGGCTGGTCTCCTCTTTGGTAGCTGCAAGAGAAACCAAATTAGGTTCAGCAGTAATACAGTCAGGCCAGTCCTTCCTCTTCTCCCTTTTCATTATTGGCATGTTAATACAGACAATATGACATTTAAAAGAAAAGTAACTAACAGCACTCATAGTAGAAACCTAGGGAAACATGTAAGAGCATGAGTTCCTACCATTAAGGATTACTGTTTTTAATATTTTGATATGAAAATAATTTAATATAAAGTCTATAATCATATATTATAATATATTAATGTGTTATAACTTGAATATTTAATATTTAATTATTAAATATTTTAATAGCAACATTTTACATAATATCTGTATCACCATATATTATGTGACAAGCTACTATTTTTAACATGTGCTATGTAATTCTTAGTTTTCACTGATTTACAATATTATGGAATTTCCGGAGGGTTGTTTTCACATTCCTATATGTATATGTCTTATCATACCTACCACCAAAGTTCTATTGCCATTAAAGAAACTTTCCTCCCACCTTTGTAATTAATAGAGATTCCAACAAAACTCTTCTAAGAGTTAGTTTTATTGCTTTTTGTATTTATTTATTTATTTATTGGACCTAGGGTTTTTATTTTGTTGTTGTTGCACTCTCATATTCTTTTTTCTTTATATAATACTGTGAACTCATGAGTCTACATTCAATACATTTTTTTTATGTAGGAGTACTGCTATTTATTCAGCCACTGATTAGACTGATTAAATTGGGCATGAACTCCACCTTACCTTTTTTTTCATGTTTTTATAATTTTATTTATTGAATCACCATGAGAGCAGTTACAAAGCTTTCAGGTTTAAATCTCAGTCATACAATGAAACACCAGTACCTTCACCAGTGCCCATTCTCCAGCACCAAAAACCCCAGTATACCCCCATCTCACACGAATGATAAATTCCGAAAATTTATTCTTTGCTCTGTGCTCAGGGATCACTCATTGTGGTGTTTGGGGGACCATATGGGAGACCAAGGATCAAACACCCGTACCTTCACCAGTGCCCATTCTCCACCACCAAAAACCCTAGTATACCCTCATCCCACAACCTCCTCCTAACTGTGGGGCAGATGATTTCCACATTACTCTCTCTCTACTTTGATTACATTCAATATTTTGACACCAGACCCACAATCATTATTTGGGATTTTACCCCAATACTCAGATCTGCCAAAAAGGCAACAGTAGACAATTTATTTTCTATTGCTGGTTATGAATAACATATGACGTCACGCAGCTGCAGTAGTGGCTGTGCGATTTTGAAATTCCGAAATTTTAACACTTAAATCTGGAGGGATTTCTTGCCAAAACCTGCTGGGTTCTAAGATTTGTTCCTGAGTCTCTGAAATCATACACCTTAAGCAGCTTGACCAGGAGCCAGAGAGGCCGTTCATGGGCAGTGACTCGAGGTCTTGTTGGGACGGGGAGGAAAGTGCCGGCTCCACCCCCATCCTGTGAGGCACCAAGTGTCTTGTCACTGAAGGCCCAAACCTGACTGTCCAGTGGACTCTAGAGGATGGCGGCCACTGGGCTGCCAGGGGGAACAGGCCAAGGCACAAAACCTATACCCACCTGGGGTGGCCCAGTGCCGGTAACCTATAGCAGGGGCCGGATTCATTTCTGCTAAAAGCTCCTGGGTTACAAGATTTGTTTGAGTCTCTGTGATCATGGACATTAAGTGGCTTGATCAGGAGCCAGAGAGGCCGTTCATGGGCGGTGACTCGGGGTCTCGTTGTGACGGGGAGAAAAGGGGCCAACTCCAAACCCCATCCTGTGAGGCCCCCTGTGTCTCATCACTGCAGGCCCAAACCTGACTGTCCAATGACCTCTAGAAGATGGTGGCCACCGAGCCACCTGGGGGAGCAGGAGGAGGGACAGCACCCTTTCCCCCACTGGGGTGGCCTGGCGACAGTAACCTACTGCGGGGTCTGGAAGCATTTCTGCCAAAAGCTGCTGGGTTCCGAGATTTGTTTCTGAGTCTCTGGGATCATAGCCGTTAAGCAGCTTGATCAGGAGCCATAGAGGACGTTTGTAGGCGGAGACTCGAGGTCTCGTTGGAACAGGGAGGAAAGGGTCGGCTCCACCCCCATCCCGTGTGGCCCCGCGTGTCTCATCACTGTGGGTCTAAACCTGACTGTCCAGTGGCCTCTGCAGGATGATGGCCACCGGTCCGCTGGGGGCAACAGGCCAAGGCATGAAACCTATTCCCACCTTGGGTGGCCCAACACCGGTAACCTACTGCAGGGACCAGACACATTTCTGCCAAAATGCATTGGGTTTTGAGATTTGTTTCTAAGTCTCTGGGATCATGGCCATTAAGCAGTTTGATCAGGAACCAGAGAGGCCATGCCTCCAATTGTATAGCTGAGCCGGAGGTGGTTTGTGGTTGAGTCACCCAAATACCTAACTTTTGGCAAGCTACCGAGAGTATTTGATATGCCAGACACAGTAACAACAAAGTCTCCAATGGAGACGTTACTGGGCCCGCTCGAGCAAATCGATGATCAACGGGAGGGCCTTTACTTTACTTTACTTTACTTTCTTGGTAAACTTTGCCCCAAGTTTTTGGGGTCTGACCAAAGGCACAGCAGCAATTTTGGAGTATCTGGAAGTATGAAGGTGCCATCAGGCTGCTGATGCACTAGCCTCACAGGTACAGATTGACCTGCTGGCGGCACCATACCCCCTTGGGCCTAGAGTTTTGTCCCTTTCTTTCTCTGTGTGTTGGTTGTTGTGACAAGAAATGCCTACCTAGTTGCAATGCTACACACTTTTGTGGTGGTGCTCACCAGAGGTTTCACATGTGGTTGAAGAGCTGGAACACACTTGGTGGTGGGGCACAGACTCTTCTCTGGCACCATGAATCATGTACAGTGATGCTGCCAGAATCATACTTGGCATGTGGAGCAGCGATGGGGTTGAACTCTTGACCTCATGCTTTTAGGATAAGAACTCTACCACTGAATTAGCCCCAGGAACACTTCTGTTGGGTTTTGTAAATTCATTTGCTTTAGTGATTTATATTCCACATATAAGTACAATGATCTAGTAAATGTATTTCATTTCCTCATTTCACTTAGCATACACACCTTAAGTTCCATCCATTTTGTTTGAAAAATCAGGATTTTATCATTTTAAGCAAAAATTTGTGTTGAGTTCATATACCACAATTTCATTATCCAGCCATCTCTTGATGACCATGTATGTTGATTCCATGTTTTGGCTAATGTGAATAATGCATTTGTGAACATAGAGGTAAACATTTTCTTTTCTCTGACTGTTTTGCTGTTTTGCACATAAATGACTAGGAAAGTTATCATGGATCATATAAAATTTTTATGTTTATTTTTCTTAAAACTCTCCATAGCATTTTCTACAGGGTACACCAATTTAATTTTCACCAAAAGTATGTCAGAGTTCCTTTTCCCCAATATTCTTGCCAACACTGTTTCCAATATTTTTAACATAGACTGTTATCATTGGTGTGAGGTGATGTTTCATTGTAGTTCTGATTTTAGTGTGCCCTTCATAAGTGACACTAAACACTTTTGCATGTATTCATAGGACAATTTTGTGTCTTTTTTGGAACACAGACTGGAGCAATAGCACAGGAGGTAGGGCGTTTGCCTTGCACACGTCCAACCCGGGTTCAATTCTTTTGCCCTTCTTAGAGAGTCCGGCAAGCTACGGAGAGTATCTCGCCCATATGGCAAAACCTGGCAAGCTCCCCGTGATGTATTTGATATGTCAAAAACAGTAACAGAATGTCTCACAATTTGTTGTGAGACATTACTGGTGGTCACTCAAGAAAATTGATGAACAATGGGAGGATAGTGCAGTGCAGTGTCTATTCAAATGTTTTGTCCACTTTTTGGCTGTCTTGCTTGCTATTTTGGTGTTGAATTGTGGGAGTTTTTTTTTCTATGTTTTTTGGATATTAACCCTTATCAAACACAATATTTGTAAACATTTATCCAGGTTTTATATCGATGTTTTGATTTATGGGATGATTTATTTATGATTTACTGGACAAAAACTTTTTAGTTTGATGCAGTCCTATTTGTGTATTCTGATTTTGTTTCCTTTTTCTTTTCTTTTATTTTTTTGATATTGTTTCCTTTACCAATAGGGTTGAGTTCCTTGTTAGAGCTCTAAAGATTAGGTCCTGGAGTATTTAAATTCGTTTCTTTCAATGTAGTTTATGGCTTCAAGTCTAATATCCAAACTTTAATGCATTTTGCCTTTTGAGTTAATTTTTGATTATGTTGTTAAGTCATTATCTAGTTTTATGTTTTATGTTTTTTCAGTTGTTTTTCTGCCACCTTGTTCAAGAGGCTTTACTTTATTGTATGGTCTTTGTTCTTTTACCATAAAGTTTATATCTCTGTATATGTGAACTTATTTATGGGTCTGGAGATTTCAGTCACAAAAAAATACATACCAGAATTGTCAATAGATTACGTCTCAATGAGGTCTGTCCTGAGACAGCACAGTCAGGCCCAGATATGGCGGTGATTTTGGATTGTGGGAGCAAGTAGCTGACAGGGCTCTACTTGTGTGGGTTCAGGCCAACCAGCCACCCTCCAATGAACCCCGTCTGTTCAGCCCTGAGCAGGTCTGACCTTAACTGTGGCTTTTGATTTCTTCTGAGATTTAATTATGGGTCTCTGAAGCAAGGCTGGTAGAAGAGCTGACGGTAGCACTGGAGTTGGTTTGTGGGGGTAACTGCCAGTGCTTCCATGATTACTGAAATGTCTGGGGAGGGAATCCACCCCCCCACTAAGAGAAAGCTTGGAAATTTCAGCATGATCAATTTTTGTACCAGCAGCTTTTCTTCAATACTCTCTTTTCTATTTGCATAGTATTTCAGCTTATAGGCAAATAGTTATCTGGATTTTTATTCCTTCAAACTTTTATCTGCCCTTAAGTAATGCCATAGCAGTTAAGTCTTTGAGTCAACCCTTGTAGTAAAATATATTAAAAAGTTCCTGAACATGCAATGACCTAAACTTACTTCAAGACCAACCACATAATGAAGTTGAAGTCTTTCTCGCAGCTTGCCCCCACATTGCATTCCCCAGGAGAAGAGTTCTCAAGTAGATAAGATTTTTAAGCCCTGTTACAAACTAATATTAGCTCAATGAAAGAAACTATTTGGCTGGAGAAATAAGTCAAAGGACTGAGTGCATGCCTTACATGTTGGAGACCCCTATTGCCTTCCTACCAACACATGATCCCCTAAACAACACTGGGAGAGACCCTCAATAATGGACCTAGGAGGAGCTTATGAGTGGCTCTGAGATGGCCCCCAAGCACAAAAGAAATCATTTTTCTGGAAGTTGTAGTATATTCCACAGTATAAGGAGAAACCCCATCAGTAACATATAATATGATTTTGATTTTACAAAAGAAATTCTTACATTTACTTACATCTGGAGTTAAATGCACTAACATCTAAATTACTATTATCTCTGAAATGATAAGAATAAAGAAATTTAAATATTATTTTTTCTATAATGAATACTTCAACATCTGGTAAAGTTTATATACAGTTTGTGAAGAAGAAATTTTCCTGAGAATTCTTCATATTTCCACAGTTTTGGAAAACATGAACAATTATGACCACACACACAGTGTTTCTTAGTTTCTTATATTATATATGATTTTTTCTCTGTGTTTTCCTCTCTATGCAAGATATATTACATGCTACTCAAATCACCTTGCTCCACTTCCCAAAACTATATTTAATCCATCTTGGAAACTGGTATGAAATGAAATTTCTGTGTGGGGTCATAAAAACAGTACAGCAGATAAGGTGCTCACTTTGCACACAGCTAACCTGGTTTTGAACCCGGGCACCCCAGATGGTCCCTTGTGTCCTGTCTAGGGCTTTGATTTTTGAGTCACAGACAGGAATAAGTCCCAAACATTTTCTCATGTGCCCCACACCACCAAGAAAAGAATTTTCTGATGGCAGAGCCATTTCCTTTGAGAAGTAATAAACTGTCCTTGAAGACTTTCTAGTCTTTAACCTGCAGAGGTCTTTTGTTATCCCTGAGTACACAACTTTCATATGGACACACACAGTCCCTGAAAACCTCTTCCTCTCTAATCAAGGAATAGAGTCCATTCATTCATTCTTCAAAAATTCTGCATCTGGGCCAGTGATTACAAGAGCTGAACACCGATCTCTTGACTGTAGACTCACTCAACCCAACAAGTCAGAACAAAGCTCAACTTAACAGCACTCCCCTTAGCATGACTGGAGTGGGGGTGAGGGTTAGTTCTCACATTTCACTTTTGGGGTAGTCACACATCTTCCTGCTTCTTATTAGACAGGTCAAACTACTAACAACCCACATTTCCCAACTGCACTCAGTAGAAAAATTAGCAACTAATGTCACCTATGTTTCGCTGACACTCTTCCTTCTCCAACCTTCATCTCATTATGAACTTGCAGAAAATGTTTCTTACCTGCAGGTGCCTGTGATGGGGTGTCCGAGGACTGGGCTCCGTTTTTGAATCTCACTTCAGCGTAGGTGATCTCTGTGGTCATATTGAGGAGAGACGCGCTGCTCTCTTCACACCAGCCTTCCCATCACTCTGAGAACAACTTAGAGCAGCTCTGCAGGAGCACCGAGGTCCCACTAATCACACAGGCTCAGAGGAATCGCATGAGAACTAAAACCTTCAGCCAGAGGTTTGAACCCCAAGACAAACACAGCAAAAGTCATAGCTCTTAAACTCAGAAGAAAAATGTAATAAAAATAGGAACTTGGAAACCAAGTAGAAGGTATGGGAAGGAAAAGAAAAGAGGAACTTTTTTTTTTTAAGTCACGAATTTATTTCCCACCATTACACAAGTTGCTGCTCTGGCACTGGTGAAGATGGGGGGCAGTGACAAGTGGGGTGTCCCCAGCTGCCCTGACCAAACTTGGGGGACACAGGCTGTCCACTGTGGGGACCCTCCAGTTGCCGTCCTGGAGGTGGAGGATGGCACCAGGTCCCACCATGGAGCTCCCACAGTCCACAGTGTCTAGGCTGACCTGAGGAGACACAGAAACTGGACATCAGCGCGTCCCTCCAGTAGCCCTGGCACAGGGCCGCTGCGAGGTCTCTACAGAGGGGCAGCGCTTGGGAGGCACGGGGGGGGGGGGGGGGGGGGAACACCTGCCTGGTTAGAGGCAGGACGGGCACTGTTTTGTACCCACTGAGGACTCTGAAGACCATCTGACTAAAATCGGGATTGGGGTCCGAGGCCAAAGGGAAGCAGAAGAATCAAGAAGTCCCAGCCACTTTCTTTTCTAGTGGGCAGCCCCGAGGGAGTGACTTCCAGTGGACCTGGGCCTTCTTGGCCTCCGGGGTCACCCCTGCCGCTAGACCTGGCTGGCACCAGGCACCCGACTACGCATCTGGCTGTACCTCTGCTCCAGACACTCTTGCGTCTGCAGCTGCAACTGCTGGGCAAGCTGCTGACCCGCCTGAGGAGGGAGCCCAGGTTCTGCTTGGGGATGGGGTGAGGGTTCCCAGGGCGTGTCCGCTTGAGATGACGCAATATTTGCTGCTGACATGGAGGTTGTTCATGAGGTTGAATGTCATGAGAAAAGAAAAGAGGAACCAAGAAATGTTCCCTGTGAATCACCTTCAGGAACTGGCATTTTAAAACTGAAGACCTGCATGCACAATAAAAATATGACCAGAGATTCAAATCAATATTAAAGTATAAAATCATATTACACTGGGCTGGAGTGACAGCACAGCGGGTAGAATGTTTGCCTTGTACACGGCTGACCTGGGTTCCATTCCCAGCATCCTATAGGGTCCCATGAGCACCGCCAGGAGTAATTCCTGAGTGCAGAGCCAAAAGTAACTCCTGTGCATTGCCACGTGTGACCCAACAAGCAAAACTTAAATAAATAAATAAAATAATATCATATTACACTAGAGGAATGCATAGATAAATCAAGAAGAATAAAACACTTCTGAAGTATTCCATATATTTACAATTATAATTCACATTAATAATTGTTTTATTGGATGGATGAAAATTGTTGTGCTTTGCTAGTCATATTTATAGAAGTGGCTGAAAATATACTATCAATAATCATTTTTAAAAATCTGGATAGCATTCACAAAAGTTTCACGACTCCTTTAAAAACACTCCAGGGACTGGAGAGAGTAGGGCCAGAGCCTTTCGGCACACAGCTGACCTGTATTTCATTCCTGGCGTCCTACACGATACCTAGAGCACAGCCAGAAGTAATTCCTGATTTTTCCAGGAGAAAGCCCTGAGCACCAGTAGGTGTGGCTCAAACACCAAATAAATAAATAACACCTATTTTTTTAAAAGCATCAGTATTAAAAATATTTTAAATAGATATTTTCTATATTTATCTTTAAAGAACACTAAATTAAAGGTTATTTATCAAAAAGTTGTGGTCAGGCATTTAAAATGTTGAACATTAGACTAATACAGTAAGAAGACTTGCAAAATTTTGGTGGTGTCAGGAAATAAATTCAAGTGTTTGAGAAATTTTGAAGACAGAAAAGATCTCATTTAGCCCTTGAACTCTAAAACTATGGTGTTTGGGGCCGGAGCAATAGTATAGCAGGTAGGGTGTTTGCCTTGCAGAGGACCAACCGGGGTTCAATTCCCAGCATTCCATATGGTCCCTCATCTCTTGAGCCCATAGCCAGTATTAACCCCTTGAATAATAATACCTGGAATTCCAATCTAACACAAAGATTTTATTCAAGTTTTCTCCTTTTTTTTTTTTTTTGGTTCTCAGTCTCTTCTGTGATCAGAAGAAACTTGCTTTTGATTGCAGAGTGATTGTACAGCTGCAAGGTTGCTTGCATTGCATGCAGCTGGTTGAGTTCCATCCCAGCATCCCAGGAAGTCCCCAAACACTACCAGGAGTAATTGCTGAGTGTAGAGCCAGGAGGGACCCCTTAGCATATCCCTTTGTGACCCCAAACAAAAGCAAAAACAATAAATATTGTGAAAGTGGTCTCAAGTGTAGAATAGAAAGAAATAGTAAGTGAACAGCAAAGGACCAAAGTCATCAGAACTCAAGATTTTGGCCATAAAACTGTCCAAGGGGGAGAAAGGAGGCTGGGAGGGGTCCAAGGAATATTGAAAGAGAGAAACGGGCATTCTGTGACATGTTTAAATAGAATAGAATATAGTGTTGTAAATCTTAGTTCCACAATAAAACTGATATGTTATAAGAATTAGCTTAACTGCATACAAGGCAAATACCTTAACTGCTCTATTGTCTACCTGGTCCTGCTAAGAAGAATGTTTTATTTTATACTTTTTAATTGAATCAGTATGAGAGAGACCATTCCAAAGCTGTTCATGATTGGATTCAGTCATACAGTGTTCCAACACCCATGCCTCCACCAGTGTACATTTCCCAGTACCAGTGTCCCCAGGTTCCCTCCTGTAACCCCCCACTCGCCACCCCCTACCTCCCTATATGGACGGTGGTTAGACAGAACTTTATTTATTTATTTATTTATTTTTTTATTTGCTCGAGCGGGCCCAGTAACATCTCCATTGGAGACTTTGTTGTTACTGTGTCTGGCATATCCAATACTCTCGGCAGCTTGCCGGGCTCTCCGAGAGGGGCGGAGGAATCGAACTCGGGTCAGCCATGTTGGCCGCTTGTAAGGCGAACGCCCTACCCGCTGTGCTATCGCTCCAGCTTTTTATTAGTGAAACACCATGAGGTACAGTTGTAGATTTACAAATTTTTGTGCTTGGATTTCGGTCATACCATGATCAAATACCCATCCCTCCACCAGTGCCCATTTTCCACCACCAGGATAATATTCCTCCCCCCCATCCCCCCATACCCCCCTGCCACTGTGGCAGGACATTCCCTTTAGACAGAACTTTTAACTGGAATCATTTGAAGAGTAATTGGAGATTGCTTCTTTTTTTTTCTTTTTGGGTCACACCCGGCAATGCACAGGGGTTCCTCCTGGCTCTGCCCTCAGGAATTACCCCTGGCGGTGCTCTGGGGACCATATGGGATGCTGGGAATCGAACCCAGGTTGGCCACATGCAAGGCAAACACCCTACCCGCTGTGCTATTGCTCCAGCCCCGAGATTACTTATTTTTTTTAAATTAAATGTGTGCCTTTTAACATGAAACAAAAATCTTCCATACAGTATCTGCTGTGTAAAAAAATCTAAGTAAATTCTATCAATTAAAATGAAAGTATCTGCACTTTATTCACTGTGGTAACACTAGTATACTTTCATTGAAATTGTTACTGATATTTTCAGAGATAGCAGTTTCTTTAATAGTTTCTCTTTTGATTACAACCATGATAACAGTGGGTTTGAGTTCTTATTACAGAATAAAAAGCCTTCCCCAAATTCAGTGTTGAAAAACATGTATTGGCAATGAAGTTTACACTGGTGAGGGATGGGTGTTGGAACACTGTATGACTGAAACACAATTGAACTGCTTCGTAAGGGTCTAACTCACAGTGATTCAAGTTTTAATTATTTTAATAAATAAAATTTTTGAAAAGTAATCATTGTCATACACAGCTATGAGAATAATGAAGAATCTTTCAGTTTACACATATGAAATGACCCTAAGGACATTTTATTACTATTAATATTAAGGTAATAAACTCATGGCTGCTTCTACCAGAAGGAGGCATAAAAATGAGGACCCCATAACCATTCCACCGGACTCCGCGCCAGGGGTACCCCAGAGGGGGGCGGGTGAGAGCCCAATCTGTCCCAAGGGACTCAACCCAGGCAGCTCACCTCCGCTATCCAACCGCTGCCATGTTCCAGGCCGCTTTCTGGACTTCATAAGACACTTCCTATCCATTTTCCATAATTGCCACACCATGTTTGATGGAATTCAGACAGTAGGTAACAAATCAGAGATTAATATACGTATATGCCTCTCGGAGAGCTTGGCAAGCTATGGAGAGTATCCTGCCTGCACGGAAGAGGCTGGCAAGCTCCCAGTTGCGTTTTCGATATGCCAAAAACAGTAACAATAACAGGTCTCATTCCCCTGACCTTGAGACGCACCTCCAATCATTGGGAACACTGAGTAAGGAGAGGCTGCTAAAACCTCAGGGCTGGTACAAATGGAGACTTTACTGGTGCCCACTTGAGTAAATTGATGAAAAATGGGATGACAGTGATACAGTGACAGTGAATAAAAAAGTAAATTTTTAAAATGGATTTATGCCCCTTCTTATATAAGAATGAAAAGATTTCTAATTTGTATTTTTTAAAAAAACTATTTGGGACATCGGGTAGGGCTTTTAGCCTGGCACATGGCAGACCCAGTGTGGATCGCAGAAATCCCATATAGTCCTGAGCACCGCCCAGGGTAATTCCTAAGTGCAGAGCCAGGAGTAACCCCTGAGCATCGATGGGTGTGGCCCCAAGAGTACAAATAGAAGCACTGTAGCACTGTACTCCCATTGTTCATTGATTTGCTCGAGCAGGACCAGTAACATCTCCCTTGTGAGATTTGTTATTACTGTGTTTGGCATATCAAATACGTAACAGGTAGCTTGCCAGGCTTTGCCGAGTGGGCGAGATACTGTCAGTAGCTTGCCGGATTCTCCGTGAGGGGAGGAGGAATCGAACCTGGGTTCGCCAGGTTGGTCACCTGCCAAGGCAAATGCCCTATCTGTAAATTTTAAAAATAAATAAAAACAACTATGTTATTATTTTTTAAAGTTCTGTCCACTGATTGGAATTCAACAGATGCTTCTTCACTTAAATATCACTCTTAAACACAAAGTTCACATAGGCAGTTATGTGAATGGAATTTGATGGTGGCTCCAGAGAAAATGAAAGGAAACAGCCTCTGAGCCACATTCATAAAGAGTGACAAAAAGGAAAAGAGGAAAGAGAGTTGTGGGATTGATGAATGTCACGATCTCTGTCAGCGCCATTCATGCTCACTTGACATTTCCACAAAGAAATTACTCCAAAGCTTTTTAGTCTACCATTATTCCACTCCAATTTTACTGAAATCATAGTTCCCTATTAATTGTCACTGTCCTCCCATTGTTCATCGATTTGCTCGAGCGGGCCCAGTAATGTCTCCATTGTGACAACTGTTACTGTGTTTGGCATATCGAATACGTCACGGGTAGCTTGCCAGGCTTTGCCGTGTGGGCAAGATACTCTCGGTAGCTTGCCGGGCTCTCCGAGAGGGGTGGAGGAATCAAACTCGGGTCGGCCATGTTGGCCGCTTGCAAGACAAACACCCTACTCGGTGTGCTATACAGTGATAGCACAGTGGAAGGGCAATTGCCTTGCAACCGGCCAACATGGGCGACCCGAGTTCCCTATTATTATTGTAAATCAAGTTGCAAATTACCCCAGAATGCAAATTGCTTTCTTGAAAGTAAACTGGAAAATTCTTCAAACCATGGACATATTTAGGTATATATATATATATATATATATATATATATGTGACTAGTCTTTAGATGAATTCAAAAACAAGGTGACAAGCGCAATTACTTGATTGCATCAAGCACATAGTCTCAAGAGGTCGACAGAATAAAT